GTGATGATTTCATCACATTCAAATATCTAACCATTTCCTAAGAGCATGCTGAACACTGTGATAACACAAAACTTTGTGTATATGGGGTATCTAAAGAGATGGGAATTTCATTAGCACCTTCCCTTAAACATTTTTCAGTTTGGTAAGTATTTTGAATTTTGCCCGGGTGACGGCCGAAGCCTATTCTTCTCGATTTTAAGACCACCAAGAAGTAGTAGTAGAAAGGCTGCAGGAAGAGTCAGGAGCTAAGAGTAGGGGGGCAAGGGGGAATTTTAAGAGATGGTGTCATGTTATAATAATAATAATAATAATAATAATAATAATAATAATAATAATAATAATAATAATAATAAAAAAAAAATAATTTTAAAAAATAAAAAAATAATAATAATAATAAGTAGCAGTAGTGGTAGTAGCAGTAGTAGCAGAGGTAGTAGCAGTAGTAGTAGTAGTAGTAGTAGTAGTAGTAGTAGTAGTAGTAGTAGTAGTAGTAGCAGTAGTAGTAGTAGTAGTAGTAGTAGTAGTAGTAGTAGTAGTAGTAGTAGTAGTAGTAGTAGTAGTAGTAGTAATAGTAGTAGTAGTAGTAGTAGTAGTAGTAGTAGTAGTAGTAGTAGTAGTAGTAGTAGTAGCAGTAGCAGTAGCAGTAGCAGTAGCAGTAGCAGCAGCAAAAGTAGTAGTAGTAGTAGAGACAAGTTGTATTCCCTCGAGACGAGACTATTTTATTGAGTGGGTGTCTGCTGAGCTGTTGTATCCTACTTGAAAAAGGGTGGCCCTGACTGACAGGTACGGTCGAAGAAGCTTACTCCCCATTATCATTATCAGTCAAAATTGGGTCAAAACTAGACCATTGGATTGTTTAAAATAAGACAAATATTATTTAAAATATAAATTAATTTTAAATATTATTAAAAATATAAATTAATTTTTTTTAAAGATAAATAAATAAATAAATAAATAGATAAATAAATAAATAAAAGAAGGATCTTATTGTTATAAGAGTCGTAAGGCATATTAATGTACTGTAGAACTCTTAGGCTCTTAGTAATTTTGGCAAATCTGTAAAGCCTAACTTTACCAGATCTTCTGGAATCGAACCACTGCTGTTGGTACTACTACTACTACTACTACTACTACTACTACTACTACTACAACTACTACTACTACTACTACTACTACTACTACTACTACTACTACTACTACTACTACTACTACTACTACTACTACTACTACTACTACTACTACTACTACTACTACTACCTTAACTGTTGCTGCTTTGGCTACTGCTATTGCTGTTACCAGCAATACTAATACTGTGCAGCCTTTTTTAAAGATATAATAATATGACATACCGCTGACTGGTATTTTTCTTAATAATAATAATAATAATAATAATAATAATGATAATAATAATAATAATTGCATTTATATAGTGCATATCCAAGCTCAAGAGCATGCTCTATACGCTTTACAACCATTATTACCCCAGCAGACCTTCTGAGAACACTCAGAAACATTCTCGGCTTCCGCGGAAGCATACAGTGCAAGCTTCTTGTGGTGCAGTTGCCTTGACCACCGCTGTGGTATCTGTTTATAAGACCATTACCACTGCCTTGCTTGTAAGCTAACCATCTTTCGAAAATAAGAGGAGAAAAAAAGTGAAAAAAACCAACTCACAAACAAAAACAAACTCTAAGAGAAACTCACCTTGATCTCGTGTGAACAGACTCCTCCTCCAGCCCCTCCAGCGGTCAACACATCAAAGCCCACGGACACAACGACAATGTCAACATCCGCCCCTGTGACTAATGCCCCGATGCCCACAAGTACGTCTGTCTGTCTGTCTGTCTGTCTGTCTGTCTGTCTGTCTGTCTGTCTGTCTGTCTGTCTGTCTGTCTGTCTGTCTGTCTGTCTATCTCGATGTCTGTCTCTCTGTCTGTCTCTCTGTCTATTTGTCCGTTTATCTGTCTGTCTATTTGTTTGTCTATCTCTCTCTGTCTACTTGTCTGTCTGTCTGTCTGTCTGTCTGTCTTTCTGTCTATTTGTATGTCTATTTCTCTGTCTATTTGTCTGTCTATCTCTCTGTCTATTTGTCAGTTTGTTTGTCCGTCTCACAGTCTGTCTCTTTACTCGTTGGTCTGTTTGTCTGTCTGTCGTTGTCTTTCTCTTTCTCTATTTATCTACGCTTCGTCAGCCCGGTCTATTTCTTGTATCTTGTAAGGGGACTTCACTTCCCTCTTCTATTTGCTTCGACTTTTGGCAGCCTGTCGCCAAGTTCTGAAGTTCCAGATTCCTGTCTACTACTACTACAACAACAATAACAACAAGAACAACAATAATAACTCTTACTACTACTACTACTACTACTACTACTACTACTACTACTACTACTACTACTACTACTACTACTACTACTACTACTACTACTACTACTACTACTACTACTATTACTACTACTACTACTACTACTACTACTACTACTACTACTACTACTACTACTACTACTACTACTACTACTACTACTACTACTACTACTACTACTACTACCATATTATATTATATCCACAACAGAGATCGTTTCCGTGGAGGAGATCGTGGAAGTGTTCGAGGCTGTCTCAAAGACTGATTACTTCAAACGCCTCAGCTACGAGGACCAGCTGCTAGTGATGGAGATCCTGTCGGGGGGAGAGACAGGGAAAATGACGCCCATTCTGGAGCAGATTGGTTTTGAACACTTGCTCAACTTCATGTACGGTATGTATAGGATGAGACACCTATGTCAAAAGGATGTCGTTTGAGAAGATTATTGGTCCATTTTCGTATCCTGACATGCCGAGAGCTGTCCTCGAAAATTAGAGCAAAAGACTGCTGTTTGTGAAAATTATTGATCCATTTTTGTATCCCGGTTTGCCAAGTGTTGTCCACGAAAATTATGTCAAAAGTATGTTGTTTGAGGACATTACTGATCAATTTTCGTATCACGATATGCCAAGAGTTGTGCACGACAAAGAATGCTCATTGAGTTTTATTGATCCATTTCCTTATCACGATATGTCGAGAGCTGTCTACATAATGTGTGTTCGACTTTTGATAACATGCACCTAAAGTTTTTTTTTAAGGTAAAGTCGGGTTTTGAAAACATGCGCCTTACACTTTCTGTTAAGTTGGGTTTTGATAACATGTACCTAACACTTTCTGTTAAGTCGACTTTTAATTCTCATATATACCTTACACTATCTCAAAAGTTAGGTCTTGAAGATATTGAAGCTGGCAAATCTGCACTTTATCTTCCTACCTATCACATTTTTTAGTATGAAAAGGCAGTGTGATCTGAATTTCGATATACATGTATTTAGAAGTGCATTCCAAAGTCGACATGCCCACCTAATGAGTAGACCAAAGACTGATCTTTTAAGAGTATTTTCCTCGATTTTAATTACAAACCATGATAATCTGTCCTTTTCACTGTGTTTTTTTTGCCGGGGGGGGGGGGGGGGGTTAATTGGTGTCTCTATCAAATACAAGGTAGAGAATTCTGAAAATCGAAATAATTCTCTCCAAGAAGTAAAACAGGCTGTGGAAACTCGATTCTTTTAAAACTTGAACCTTATTCAAAAGCTTTGGCCAAATGCCATAGCCATGAGTCTATCTATAAAAGTACAAAACTCTCACATACACAGGGAGGGTGACTTCACACGCTACCAAGTCGGACCTACAAGTAGTATATTATTATGAAAAATATGTCTATTCGATAGCTTGTAAAGGTGCACCGCCTCTTCTTTCAAATTAAAAGTGTATGCCGTACCCTTTTCCGGCCATCTTCTTACGGCTAAGGAGAACATGCTGGTGTAGCGGTGAGATAAAGCTTTGCTGTCGCACGCACGAGACCTCAGTCCTGTAAAAAAGATTTTGGTGTTTTACATCGCTCGCAACTCATTAAGGTCATATGAGTGCACGGGACACATTAATCAGTTGGTAGGAAATTTTAAATTTTGCCCGAGTGGCGGCCACAGCTTACTCATATCGATTTTAGACCACCAAGGGATCTTTAACATGCGCAACTTGCACACGGGACCTCCGAGATTTTTCGCCCTTGCCCGAGAAGGCTAGATGTAGATCTTTTTTAACCAGAAGATCAGGGATGTGGCTAAAAGACAGATGTAAGAAGGAGCCAAGGAGTAGCAGAGGAAAAGCTGCAGAAAGAGTCAGGAGCCTAGAGGAGGGGCCAAAGGAGGTGAGGAGGTGGGGCAGAAAATGGAGACGAAAACAGACGACAGAGCATTGCTAGAGAGCAGGAAAGGAGGTAAAAGGAGACAATTTAGAAAAGAAAATGTTTCCATCGGTACTCGGATTTGAACCCGGGACCTTTGAATGAGAAGTGAAAACCTTAACCTCTAGCCCCCGACCCCAGTTCGATTTCCAAGTGGGGAGAACATTTGTATCGAGTATCTCGGTCTTTCTACTACTGGAATATATCGCTTTCAGCTGGGAATGGCGCTGACTGGCTGGGTCGGAAGCCCACCTCTTGAATAATTTAAATTGTATTGATAGGGGCGTAAAAAAAACCCTACATAAGAAAACCTTACTCAAAATTAAGATTTATAAGCAATAATAGAAAACCAAACTCATCGACATGCGATGAAGGATAAGGATAGTGTATATAAAAGAGCATATCGTCACGCTCGGAAGAAAAACGCCTAATTCAATTTAAGTCAACGTGAGAAAATTAGAAAATAAAACCCTGTGTTCTATCATCAAACAATAATTGACTCTGTGAAACACTTGGAATTTGAAACACACAAACAATTTTATATTTGGATTATTCTTTTGTGAGTGAAGTATATTATTACCTCGCTGGCTCTGCTCTTCATTTCCGAACCAAATAACTGCACACTGGCAAAAAATGACTGAGGCGATTATCTTATTACCCTGACAATAATATAAAAAAGAACAACAAAAAAACAGGGCAGATTCGAGAGGGAAGCCAATGTAAAAATACTGCTGTAGTGGAGCAACAAGCAACACCTGACACATCACATGTAGTAGCGGTGTCACGACGCGGTGGGATCAGGCGCTCGTCAATTTTTGGGCATGTGGAGTTGTTGGTATTATCTGAAAGCTGCTTTATTTGCCTTCGTTCTAAGGAAATACATAGCTATTTATCTTGAATAGAACTCAAGATATCCGCATTTGAAAGAAGTGAGGTCGCCTGATTTCAGTGATTAAGTTAGCGAAAAAATGGCCGCCAAAGTTTGGTTACTCCAATAATAGCTAAAGAGTCTTTGAAAACTGAAAAATGACACTTTTGATGCCTTTAATCAATGTTTCTCAGTAAAAATTCGCATCGAAATGTATTTTATATGGAGATAAAGAGGTTAAGCCACAAAAAAAAAATTCCAAACAAGTAGAAAATGCCTGTGTCTCAGATTTCGTTATTTTGTCGAGCGCCTGATTTCACAACACTGGCTCACCTTTGGCCTTTTTTTTCACTCAACGATGAACGCCCAGGTTTTCTCCCTCTCCGGGCCTTCCACAAACAAGATGGCCGCCCTGCCAACGTCAGCGTGGGATCGAAAGCGTATTTAACGAGAGAAATTGCTAATCATGGTTTGAAATGTTTGTTTTTTACACCATTTTGTTTTTCACGAAGCTGGAGGACATTCGTAACTCGTTAATTGGCAATTTTAGTTCCCCCCCCCCAGAGAAAAAAAGGGAGGGGGGGCGAGGAGTTTACACCTTCCAACGTAGACAGCGGCTAGAACGGAACGAAACTTGAACGCCAAAAGCTCTCTTTAATTTAACAACCTTCACCCAACTGTGCCACATCATATCACCGCTATTATTCGTTTGTAAAAGAAATTCACTTTCTTATTCTTTTTTGTAAATGTGGTTCTTTTCCTTTCCAGAACTGCCTCTGAAGTATGTGGATGACTTCAACACCTTCGTGAACCAGGTCAGTGGGGGAGATTTCCAAAGGGACAGTTTTCATAGTGTGGGGCTTAATGTAAGGGTTGTCACGTTCTCATTTCACGGCGTAACATGCTGGCGAAAAAGGTTAAATTCACAATAAATAGGCTACTTGTTTTAGGGTGTACTTAAATGCTGAAAACTTATATTTGAAAGCTAATTAGATAATATATTCCAAAAAGAAATGTTGCTTGTATTGAAAAGAACGACCAAAAATTGGTAACCATTTGATTTTTTGTTCTTAAAGAGTAAGGTTCTTTTTTTTTTTAAACTAAGGTTCTTTTATAACCAAATAATTTGGAATTTGCTGGAAGCATATATTTTGAAAATGTAATAAGACTTTATACAGAGGATCTAGGATCTTATTGATTGAATGGTTATCTTGATGTTTATCACTTAGTCTTTTTGAAATCCTGATTTGCCCCTGAATTGTTTTGTTTTGGGTGTTTTGTTGTTGCTGTTGTCGTTGTTGTTGTTGCAGTTGTTGTTGTTATTGTTGTTTGATTGATTGAGGTTGTTTGTTGTTTTTTTGTGTGTTTTTGTAAACCACATACACTCGGCTTCCCACAAGACGGACGCCGATGAAGGGAAATGGAGTTTAGAGGATCAAGACTCATTGGGATTACATTCAATAGGGTCAGGCGAGGGAGAGAGGTTTGGGGGTGAGGGGAGGGTCGTAAGAGAGAAATCTTAGAGTAGTAGGGTAGAAATAGAAGGGGAATATTTCTTCTGAGGGCTGGGGATGGGAGGAGGAGGGGGAGAAAAACAACTATTGCAATATTTTATTTATTTGGAAAAGATTTTCATTGATAGTTTAGATTTGGTGCACTTTGGGCGTGAAAAACGTCAGACCACATCAGGGACACGGACACATTGCTAATGCACAAATTATACACAACACTTTCTCACACACACACACACACACACACACACACACACACACACACACACACACACACACACACACACACACAAATACGCACACAAACACACACACAAACATACACACACACACACACACACACATGCACAAACGTGCAAACAAGTACAAACAAAAATTCGCATTATAAAAATTCAACACATTAAATAAAAAACGTAATTAATTACCCTTTGATAACAAGATAGTACAAAATTACAATAAGAAAATCTTTTTAACGCGTGATTAGGGGATATTAAGCAACATAGTTATATAGACTCACTTGTCATAATTTCATCGAGTTTTTTTCTTATCCCAACGAAGGTCGAAGTGTTTATTGTATAGGCTTACCAGAGAACGTATCTCTCCTTCAAAAAATATGTGGAAATGTGTTTTTTTTAAACTTTCAATTCAGGGATTTGTACGGGAGCACAGTATGGAATAAAAGGCCTGATATCTCTGGCTTCTGAGATCCCGGAGATTCCAACGGAAGACGGGACGACAGGCCTGAGAAGGTTCCAAGTTTTCTTCTTAACATTTTATCCCTTACCTACTTCATTGAGCATCGTCATTTTCCACCAACACGAAATAAAAATTTGACTTACAGTTCCAGACAATCACTCGGGTCTTTGCTTTATCAATCGGGCAAATTGCTACCTCAAAATAACAAAGCTCTATCTGCTCAGTACCTGGTTTTGAGAAATTTGGCAAGCAATTCTGTGAATATCTTGATAATGACTCCGAATAATCTTACAATTTTGATAGAGTAGATAGAAATTGGGTTTCTAGTCATAGTAACTCAAAATGGCCAAAATGTCAGATAGAGCTTTGTAGTTCTGAGGTAATGAAATGTTAAGATGAGAGTGAAAGGTGTTACCTTATCGATTGATAATTCTGCTTTTTTTTTTAGTGGATGTATTTGACTGCAGACTGCATGTTATTGGACTCAACTACAGTACGATATGCCTTTGCTGCTTCTCTCTCTCTCTCTCTCTCTCTCTCTCTCTCTCTCTCTCTCTCTCTCTCTCTCTCTCTCTCTCTCTCTCTATCTATCTATCTATCTATCTATCTATCTATCTATCTATCTATCTATCTCTCTCTCTATCTATCTATCTATCTATCTATCTATCTATCTATCTATCTATCTATCTATCTATCTATCTCTATCTCTCTCTCTCTGTCTTTCTCTTATCTTCAGACTTGTTTTCGTTTTCCTTTCCCATCGTTTGTATCTCTCTCCATCTATGCGTTAACTCTATAATGCGTATGGTTGGAGGGCGCTATTGGTAGGTCCTACTTCTTTGCTTTACCTCTGTTTGTTTCTGTCTGTCTGTCTGTCTTACTTTTCCCTAGCACTAAATAACAATCAGCTTGTCGATGTGCTTCTCTTTACTCAATAACTTAAAAAAGCCAACAACTTTAAAGGAAAGTAGTAAGTAGAGGAAATATTTGCCCGATCAACTGCAGTGCAAAGTAGGCCTAGTGTCGCGGTACATTTCGAACTATCACGCACACACGAGAAACAAGAATTCGCACATTTCACAGCATGCATCCTGTTGCTTGCCTTTTCATTAAAGTATTCATATAAAGAAAGCAGAACTGCCAAATAAGAATAACGAAGTTTGGCGTCTTTTTATACCCCCCCCCCCCAATATTATTGTTTTTATCATTACCATCATCATTACCATAATTCTTATTCTTATTCTTATCAGAGACCTAGCAGTGTAAACGAGAAAGTACAACTTGTAGTGTTGTCCGTGACAACCAATGCTACTCGCAGCGTAAGCGAAGAGAGCTGTTCTATTTATTGGGCGGTGAACATACTCACGTAAGGCCTAGGGGATTTCACGAAAAAAATTTAAGACGATTAATTTGACCAAAATACATGTCACTAGATAAAGCTAAAGAAGCTGAGACGAATTGGATAAACGGTTCAAAAGTTATGCAAGTTTACAATGTCCAGACACTCCCATGGCCTTCAAATTCACCGAATATGAACGCTATAGAATACATAATTTGGGATGCTTTGGACAGACGTCTCCGAAACAGAGTTGTCGCCCCTGCCACTCCTGATGAACTGTTTGCCGCCTTGGATGAAGAGTGGAAGGCAATGCCACTCCCCAACATTCGTCGTCTCATCGCATCCATGCCTAGAAGATGTCAAGCGGTGCTCCAGTCAACAGGAGGCCACACGCGGTATGAATGGCCGCCCTTGGACAAACAGATTGGAGCTTCCAATTGATTGTTCAAAATCAATTCAATTTTGTTAATAATAATAATAGATAGCATTTGTATAGCGCATATCCCCGCTCATCAGCAGGCTCTATGCGCTTTACACTATATTATTACCCCAGCAGACCATAGAACACTCCGAAACATTCTCAGCTTCCTGGGAAGCATACAGTGCAAGCAGCCGATTAAGCGCTCAAACACTTACAAACTGACAAGATCTTTCGCTGTCTATAGCCGGGTACCCATTCCCACCTGGGTGAAGTGAGGAAAATTCGTGTAAAGTGCCTTTCCCAAGGACACAACGTCGGGCCCCTGACGGGATTCGAACCCACGACCTTACGGTTGAGAGTCCGATAGCCTAACCACTAAGCCACCGACGCCTATTGTTGATAATCAATAAACAGCAATGACTTAAATTTCAAAAAGTATTTTCTTTCCATCATTTGTATCAACAGTTTTTCAGAGCTATATACGATAATACACGATTGCCAATTTAGTTATGCGTTTCTTTTCTTTTTTTTATAACAGTATAGTATCTCTGTCTTTATACTGCGATGTAGTATCTCTCTCAGCCCAGGTTGGCCCGAACAGACAGGAAGGGGGAGTAAAATCACCTACATTTAATTAATTTTAAAAAACTCACGAAGAAGAAGGGCAGGAAAGGCAGAATAATAACAATAATACATCAACAACACAGAGATGTTTTCAACTGCTGGAGCAGTAGGAGAAACATTAAACAAAAACAAAATATACATAACAATCAAGAGAAAAATATTTGCTTCTCGCCTCGACACAATAAGTATAAAAGGTAACAGAGGCTGCAAAAGATAGGCAAAGTACATAATAAGTAAACTCCGTACGATATCATGCCATATTACCAATTACCATACCAGCAATTGTCTCAGTTAACAACAAGATTCCGTTTTCTCATTACCCAACTGAAGTTCAAAGTAACATGTGCTTTTGAGCCACTGAAGTTGGCAGGAGCAACAATCATAATAATATCCTTCTTCTGAGGAGCTCAATACTAATTATTATTTCACCTTGCCTAGATGCCAAGTGAACTTATCATCGAGACTTTTCAACTTATTTTTAACTCTGCACCAAATGACTACTGCGTAATGCACACAGAGTCTGGGAAAACGCATTTTGACTGGAAGCCCTGCCCATCGATCAAGATTTTCTAGTACTTGACCTGCGCTTTCTTCAATCAACCTTTGCCTTCTTGGATTGATTCGAATTCACTCTTTTTATCTCTTTGGAGGAAGATCAAATCCCACCACATTTTTAAATATCCTTTGACTTTGAAAGTTTCATTTTAGTTTCAACTTTCTTATATTCAGTATTCAAATATAAAAAAGTATCTTTGCCGGTTGATAATAATATTGGTCACCAAGCGCGGTTCGTCCATAGAGCACAGTCGTGCAGTGCCGCCCAAATTTTTTAAATGTTCTATTAGGTAAAACACCCACAATAATAAAATAAAATAAGCCAGAAACAAACACTAGCCAAATATTATATCAAAACAAAGTCCTCACTGGCGCCATAACTGTCATTTCTGTGTCTATAGCGCCGTAAAACATTTAGAATCTACTATGCCATGCCAGAGTCCACGCGCTTTAGCTAAACATAAGATAGGATATTTAACGGTGTAACCTGACCTATAAATCGCTCTTGGGGATAACCCAAGCGATGACGACACTCGTAGCGAGTTTGGCGGTACATTAATATTAATAAGACGTCACATCTCAAATGTGCTCTTGCCGAATAGTGCCGAAACATAGCCCACAGTAGGCAGTCTAAAAATAAACGCAATAGACCGTACGCTATTCTTTGCCAACATTATGTGAGCCCCGGAACAATCTAGCGGAGTGCTCAAGTGAATTGTGATTGGTTCATTGTCTGTCTTGCCACTATTTTTGGTGACGCGCCTGGGTCGGGAATCTCCCACTGGAGTGGAGGAGGGGGGGTGAAGGTGACCGTCCTATGAGTTGTGCCTTTGAATGGTTTTGTAGTGGAGTAGTGAAAGTTATTACTTGAGTGTTCAGTTCCAATACAGGATGAACGAAATAATTATTGATGTTTAGCTAACAATCAAATTTAGTAAGTAGAATGAAAATAAAAGCACGAGGTCCTCCCTCACCAACCCAAAAATCCTAAAAATATACACCGTCTCATTTACTCAGCCCTTTACTATCTTCAGCATGCGATAGCTTAATTGTGCACGTCCACTTTTTAACCCCACGAGCCGCCCCTGTTGGTCACCCTTGTACTACCAGAACTTGTCATACCTTTGATGGCAGTTGTTTGTTTACATCAGTTACGTTGAAAATCCAGAGTTACTTGCCCCTGACTTCTGGCTCTGCGGGTGAATTTTTTTTACCTTACGAAGTGAACTAGAGTAGTGTAGTAAAGTTCGATTTTCCTCGACAAAACTTTAATCATTTGTAACAAAAATGACATTACTAGAGAGCTAAATGATATATCTGTCAATATAACTTGCCCCGGGAACGTCTACCATCGTTAATAAAAAAAAGAATATTGAAGATAAAAAATATATTTTACCATAACTTTTTACACAAGCGTCGTACAAGCTCCGGGTGGGTTGCAAACTCTTCAGCGTCCAATTTTACCACAGAATCACGTGATTTCAACGGCCACCTACAACGGTTAGCGATGGAAAATTCTGCTCGAATAAACCGCCCTAAATGCGCTGCATTCTAAATTTGTCAAAATTTGCGTGCAACGCGTTGTGGCAGAACGCGTAACGACCCTTGTAGTTTTAACTAAAAAATCTATAATGGTACGCATTTCTCCCCCCATTGAAACTAGCATGGAAATAAAAAGCACATATAGACCTCTCATTTCATGTTGGTTTTATGATGCTAGGCTAATACGGGGTGCCCACTACGGCTGGATCGGGCCGATCGCCCGAAGAGATCGCCTGAAACTGAAAACAAACACGTTTGTTTTAAGGCGATCGGGTCGGGCGATCGGCCCGATCAGCCGATACCATCCTTAGTGGGCACCCCGTATAAGAACTAATAAAGTTATGAGCCGAGAAAGAGGAAAAACCGGGATTTTAGCGGAAATCCCCTTTCGCCGGCCGAGCGTAAAACCCCCTACAGTTAGTGTTCTAATATGGGTGAACAAAACTAAGTTGTTAGTGTACTCTGAGATTCCAAATAAAAAGGGAGGGGGTGATAAAAGGGAGGGGGGCACATTTACCAGATATTAATAAAAGGGGGGAAGGACTTCCGTAACGAGCAACCACCCCAGCAAACACAATAAAGAAGAGACCTAGACCTAGCCCTAACCCTAACCCAAACCCTAACCCTATACCCTACCCCTACCCTTAGCCATCTATTCTGCTCTGTCTCAAAGTGGT